CGTAAACACTATGGTGGAGCGATAACATGAGGGGTGGGGTGTCTAGATTATGATTACGTCATCGGTAATTATTTACTTTTTTACACAAATGGCAACACTCACATTGTCTTTGCTAAAAAACAATACATTAATTGAAAAATGTTTACGTAATCATGGGGGAAGAAAGAAAGAAAAGAAAGAAAATTGTTTATTTGGTACACTGAAAATAATTTTTAAAATTTAATTTACATTTTATATTAATAATTAGAGTACCAACTAGGTCTCCGCTCAGCATATGTCGTGACGGGGTGCCACGACGCTGGTTTTCAGCGGACACCTTATATACAATAAATATAATAAAATAATAATAATAATACACATACATACATAAATCCAGGCGGACAACACAAAGCAAACATTTACGACATACTACCATATATAAATAAACATCAAACATACTACATAACTACACACTGAAAACAAAATAAACATAAATTCTGGTGACACTAGTATTACCCTGCATTACCCCGCTCTTGGAGTGCAGACACATCACGGCACAGTTCTAGTGAGGAGTATTTTTTTTAATTTATTTTTAAAAATCTGCACAGTTTACAGGAAGGGGGTAAGAGCTGTGCTTACTTTTGCTGACAAGGGGGATGGGGGGTAAATAATAGTAATAAATCAGCTTACGTAATACTTGAACGGCCGCATAGTGACTGTGGACCAGGAACAAGCGGTTTAAATAAGGTCGCCAAGGTCGCGAATAAATTGAAGTATAAAAAAAACAAGAACTCTAGAACATACAGTCTAAAAAAACTGGTCGTCAAGGCCGTAACATTGTACGGTATTCTACCATTTCGGCCGGAAATAGGTTTTGTTGTGGTGCACCCGCCTGCGGTTTACGCTGGCGGGGCACCAGTGGAGGATGATAAGATGAATATGATATATTCATATGCATGTAGTAAAAAACGGTTATTTCAATATTACAAACACACACACAATTTTATTTATATGTATAGATATGTATGTATTTACGAAAAATATACCTATGTATTTATATCAGTTGTCTATTACCCATAACACAAGCTTTACTTACCTTGAGACTAGATGGCGCTGTGTGAATTGTCCAGATATCTATCTAAAAGGGTATGAAGTTGCGGGCTCGGTAAATACTTGATATGTATGTACGTCTAGTTAGTATGATCACGGTAACTTGGTGTCAAGGCTGAGAAACCTTATATCGCTCACTTGGCAAGCGTTACTCATACATATCTATATATATCTATAGATATAAATAAACTATCTGACACTGTAAACGTTGTTTTGCCATATAAATTAAAATCGGTATTAAAAATAGGGATTCTTGATAGAAGGGTGAAATTTAGAAATAGAAATAATCTTTATTCAAATAAACTCATTACAAGCAATTTTGAATAGTCAAGTTTTTTTATTCTACCGCTTATTCGGAATGCAGATTCATCACAAGAAGAATAAGCAATAAACTTGTGAGTTGTTCTTTTAAATAAATATTGAATTACTTATATTTTAATTAACAACAAGGATTAGGCATGCGACAATCAACATAGAAACCGCTACGCACTTGATCTCTGTTCAATCAGATAACATTGTCAGCGCTATGAATTTTAAGTTAGATATTTTCTACAAAAACATTATTATCATTTATAAATTCTTCAATTTTATAATAAGCTTTTTTACAAAGAAAATATTTTATGACACATTTGAATTTTTTTTTCTGGCAAATTGAGTACAGGCTCTGGGAGTTTGTAAAACCTTAGTAGATATATATATATAATACACTAGCTACCCACCCCGGCTTCGCACGGGTTTACATGTATTATGTGAAATGAAATCGCGGGAAGGCATTGGATGCGAGCAGCGCAGGACCGATCGTCGTGGAGACCTTTGGGGAGGCCTATGTCCAGCAGTGGACGTCTTCCGGGCTGCGATGATGATGATGATGATGTGAAATGAAATGATTTTTTTTGTAGTTTTTTATACATATAAACCATTCTCTAGATCCATTCTGTCTATTAAAAAAACCCGCTTCAGAATCCGTTGCGTAGTTTTAAAGATTTAAGCATACATAGGGACGGACAGACAGCGACAGCGACTTTGTTTTATAGTGTGTAATGATGATATACACCCGTGCGAAGCCGGGATGATTGGCTAGTTTTCTATATTATATTTTTTCCCCTACCGTCCAGTTCAGTATATAGATCCAATTGAGAAGAACAGACAAGAAACTCAATTGAATTTCTTTGTTTTTAATAAAGCCAGTTTATTCACAATGTATATTTATATAGGTGTCTATGTCTAACATTAAATGAAAATCCCGTGCATGAACAACTATTGCCATGCACACTCGTCACTCAAGTAGGTAAACGTTTAGTGAGTAATAGGCTTTGTTCAGCTCTGCTAACAAATGTTTTTAAATTAAATAACTGTACGTGTATTATTTAAAAACGAACAATAATAAGTATGTTTGTTTGTATTGTATAATTTCTATCCAGCTACATGTTAGCTACCGAGCTAGCATGATTTCATTGAGTGGGAAAAAATGCCCGATCCTATAGCTAAGATTGCCCTAGCACCGCAAAATTAGTAGAACCAACCACATATAACATGGAATAGGGGTCGTTCAAGTATTAAATAAGCATTATGTGGGGGCGGGAGGTCTTTGCTTTGCTTATTTTGGATGACATGGGGCGTGGGGGAGTCTAGAAGATGATTACGTCATCGGTAGTCATTTACTTTTTTACACGAATGGCAACACTCATATTGTCTTTGTCTAAACAACAATACATTAATTGAAAAATGTTTACGTAAGCATGGGGGGAGGGGGTAAGAGCTTTGCTTACTTTTGCTGAGAAGGGGGATGGGGGGGGAGGTTGTTAACAAAAAAATCTGCTTACGTAATACTTGAACAGGCCCATACTGCGAAGAAGAGATTCCCCAAGAATTTGACATGATGGTTTCCAGGGGGAACCGCGTGGAGGTCAACCTGACATGGTACATTGCTGCAATGCGGTTATTAGTCCACATTACTAACAATCCCCTTTCCCCCGATGGATGTTTGTTGTCTTTCACGTATAAACTACTAAACGGATTTTGATGAAACTTTACAGTAATATAGCTTACACATCAGCGATAAGGCCAACTTTTGCCGCCTAAATATTAATTACTCTATTAATTTTATTAATGTAATTTTCTGGATCGTCGTGGAGATCTTTGGGGGAGGCCTATGTCCAGCTTTGGACGTCTTCCGGGCTGCGATGATGATGAAGTTTCCTGGTATAAAAAGAGTATATAAGAAAGAAAGAAAATTGTTTATTTGGTACACTGAAAATAATTTTTAAAATTTAATTTACATTTTATATTAATAATTAGAGTACCAACTAGGTCTCCGCTCAGCATATGTCGTGACGGAGTGCCACGACGATGGTTTTCAGCGGACACCTCCATATACAATAAACATAATAAAATAATAATAATAATACACATACATACATAAATCCAGGCGGACAACACAAAGCAAACATTTACGACATACTACCATATATAAATAAACCTCAAACATACTACATAACTACACACTGAAAACATAAAATAAACATAAATTCTGGTGACACTAGTATTACCCTGCATTACCCCGCTCTTGGAGTGCAGACACATCACGGCACAGTTCTCTGAGTGAGGAGGAATATTTTTTTATATTTATTTTTAAAAATCTGCACAGTTAAAGAATCTTTTATATAAATAAATAGGCTAAAAATACAAGCGCGTGAAGCCGCAGGCACAGCCATTATAATAATAAACCTAACAACATGGTTATTAAAGTCTATTGTTGTAATAGAGCCGGTTGTTATACCTTGTTAAACATTATTGCGATATCCGGCCCCACGCTGCGGGCCCCCACGCACTATAAGTGAGTTATACAATAAGTTCATATAACACCTTTCATAAACACTAGCTGTTCTCGCGACTTCGTCCGCGTGGAATTTAACTTTATTTTTCTAAAATAATAGTAGTCTAAAGAACTAAAAAATTATTTTGTTTCGTCTTAATTTAATCCATTAGGTACTGATAGGTTCAAACTAATACATTTACATGCTGCATCATCCCTTATTTTATCCCCATGGGGGTTGAATTTATCAAAATCCTATTTAAGCGAACGTCTTCATCATAGTAGCTCCAATCTTTAATTTCAGTTCAATCAGTTGAAAATCTAAGAAGATTTATACAAATTTTCATCCCCTATTGTATCCCCTTAGGGGTGGAATTTACCAAAATCCTTTCTTAGGGGATGCCTACGTCATAGTAGCTTTATGCATGCAAAGTCTCAGCCCGATCGGTTTAAAATTGACAAAGTTTCATATAAACTTTCATCCCCTATTTTATCCCCTTGGGGGTAGAATTAATCAAAATCCTTTCTGTGCAGATGCTTACGTCATAACATCTACCTGCATGCCAAATTTCAGCCCGATCCGTCCAGTGGTTTGGGCTGTGCGTAGATAGATCACTATGTCAGTCAGTCACCTTTGAGTTATATATATTTAGACTAGATCCGCCCCGGCTCCGCACGGGCCTAATATTTGTAAACGTATTTATTTGGATAAGGATATATGCCACAAAGCGTAAAAATCCAACAAAAGCTGAGAATTTCGACATCAGTGATAAAATAATAATCTCAGGACAATTCACACAGCGCCATCTAGACCCAAGTTAAGCTAGGTAAAGCTTGTGTTATAGGTACTAGATAACTGATACAAATATATAGATTTTTTTCGTAATTACCTACATATTATACATAGAAAACACCCAGACCGATACAAACAATCATACTCATGAATACAAATGGTCGTACCGTGAGAGGAATCGAACCCGTGATCGGAAGTAAGAGTAAGGCGGTGTGCTAAGTTACTTATTACAGGTAATTTTACCTTACAACCGAAACAGCTTACAAAAATATTTGATCAAATGGTTATATTGCTTGTCATCAGGCGCTGGTGCGTATCTCGCTTGTGGAGTACAGCCACGGTGGTCCTTCATCGACTGATGATCAGACCCCAGTACCGGTCACTCACGGGTAAGTGGATTTTATAGGATACATTTTGGCGAGGATTGTGCAGGATATAGGATACATTTTGGCGAGGATTGTGCAGGATATAGGATACATTTTGGCGAGGATTGTGCAGGATAGTGCGTGTGGTGCTGCTTCAAGAATCCACCACCTCCCTCTCTCTTAATTTACTAGCTTTTGCCCGCGAATTCTCTCGCGTTAATTTATCCCCTTAGGGGTGGAATTTATCAAAATCCTTTATTAGGGGATGCCTACGTCATTCAGCCCGATCGGTTTAAAATTGACAAAGTTTCATACTAACTTTCATCCCCTATTTTATCCCCTTAGGGGTGGAGTTTATCAAAATCCTTTCTTAGGGGATGCCTACGTCATAACATCTACCTGTATTGAGTATGTCTGAGAATCGGCCAACATCTATTTTTCATCCCCTAAATGTTAGGGGTAGTCCACCCCTAATTTTTTTTTTTTTAAGGCAAAATAACGTTTGCCTGGACAGCTAGTATATATATATACATATATATATATATATATCATCATTTTTTTTTACCTCAGCGCGATGCAGCCAGTATGAAGTTATGCGAGTAAAGTTTATTTTCAAAAAAATAATTAAATTAAATCAATATTTTTAAAAGTTTCTTGCTTATTCTTCTTCTGCATTCCGAATAAGCGGTAGAATAAAAAACTTGACTATTCAAAAGTGCTTATATTAAGTTTATTTGAATAAAGATTATTTCTATTTCTCGCGAACCGAGTCACGGGCAACAGTTAGTTAATAAATAACTGAATTAAATAACTGGTAAACACCACAAACGTTTCTACTCATTAAAATATCTTTTAACTACCTAATAATGTTATAATTGATTTGACGGTAAATACTTTTATTAATGAACTACCTGTAACCGCGACTTCGTCGGCGTGGAATTTATATTTTTGTATTTCTAAAATATAAGATTTTTTTTTTAAAAAAACCGCCTAATTTACTCCTTATTACATGAGCTACCTGCCAAAAAATGACCCGTTAAAATTGATCCAGCCATTTCAGAGATTAGCCGCAACAAACAGACAGACAGAGAAAAATTGTAAAAAATGTTATTTTGGTGTATGCACCGTATTTATATTCATGTATAAAACGGTTATTTCAATATTACAAACAGACACTCCAATTTCATTTATATGTATAGATGAAAATTAAATGATTTTAGTAATTAATTAAAATTAATTCAATCATTTAAATTTTGCGTGTCTAATGAGGTTAACACAAAACTAAATGGCCTTGTGTGAATTGACTAGGGTTATCATATTATACTAGCTGAAACTTTTATTACGTTTTCAAAGGCGAGATTACTGAAAAGTCAGGGATTAACTTTTATATTTGATATTATTGCGAGAAAAAACAATAGTACTTTATCTACGTAACAGTACACACTCAATGAACAAACAGTGATATTTATCTACCATCGTCTTATATATAAAATTCTCGTGTCACAGTTTTCGTTCCCATACTCCTCCGAAACGGCTTGACCGATTCTCATGAAATTTTGTGAGCGTATTGAGTAGGTCTGAGAATCGGCCAATATCTATTTTTCATCCCCCTAAATGTTAGGGGTAGTCCAACCATAATTTTTTATTTTTATTTTAAGGCAAAACAACGTTTGCCGGGACAGCTAGTAAAAAAATAAAAATATCAAATATCAAATTATATGTAGGTAGTTTGAACCAGAGAACAAGGTGGTAAAATTAAATGTTGCACTAAATATGTGCTTAGGTTAGGTTAGGTTAGTTCCCAGGACGCGGCGAATCCCCTGGCTCCGGCATAGGCGCTCGTAGGTACACCGTGTGGTTTTTGGTGAGTACAAATCTCACGCACCGCCCCGCCCTCCTTCCGGCGGGGTGACGGTCTTTTGAAGATTTTCCACACGATAAAAAAAAAAGTTCCCAGGACGCGAGTGATCCTTGGAGCGTGGGCGTGGAGTGGCCCCGCGCCCAACTTCGTCGGCTCCTTCACTGGAGACCCGCGGCCGGAGTGCGGTCGAATGCAAATCCCAACCCGCATGAAAGCGTCTTTCCTGGTTTTTGTAGGATCACCGAGGGGTTTTGGTGGGTCGATTGAGTTCAGTCCCACAGTATTTGTCCGCACCCCTTCATAAAGGCGGACGTTTCGGTACTGAAACCTTACCCCTCAGGAAAAACAAATAAAAGAAAAAAGTAGGTTAGGTTAGGTACAAACAAAAAAACATCTAACACTAGCTGTACTTGCGGTTTCAATAGCATATAATTTATAGTCTACTAGCTGAGCCAGCGATTACACCCGCGTTAAATAAAAAAAAGTAATCTATGTGTCTCATGCATAAGCGGTAATAACTGTAAAGTTTCATCAAAATCCATTCAGTAGTTATTGCGTGATAGGATAAAGAAAGAAAGAAATAATCTTTATTCAAATAAACTCATTACAAGCACTTTTGAATAGTCATATTTTGATTCTACCACTCATTCGTAACGCAGACTCATCACAAGAAGAATGAGCAAGAAACTTGTGTGTTGCTCTTTTGAATAGATTTTTTTTTTATATAAATAATTAATTACTATTCAAAAGAGCAACACGCAAGTTTCTTGCTCATTCTTCTTGTGATGAGTCTGCATTCCAACAGTACAGTATAACAAGAGGCATGCGATAATCAACATAGAAATCGCTACGCACTCATTATTAGTGTAATCAGAGAATATTGTCAGTGCTATGGATTTTAACTTTTTCTATAAAAACATTATTGTCTTTAACGAATTCTTCATTTATAATGGATGACAAACATTGATCTCTTCAAACATTTTCGCGTTTATAATATTAATAAGAATTATTATTGAAGATACAACGTCTTCTCGTTGCAGCATTAAAATCTCCACGGAGTCCAAAGAGACCCAGAACTGCTGGCACTGACCATCTGCATCCTGAGCCGAAGGTCGACTGCGTGGTACTGCATCAGCCTGTAGACCATAAGTTTGATGTTATTTTTGTACACGGTCTTTATGGTATGTAATTTTATAACCGACTGATTATGACGACCTCGGTGATCTAGCGGTCTAACCGCTTCGATGATGGTCGCGGGTTCGATTCCTCGCACGGCAAACATTTGTATTCATGAGTATGTTTGTTTGTATCGGTCTGGGTGTTTTCTATGTATAATATATATGTATTTACAAAAAAATCTATGTATATGTATCAGTTGTCTAGTACTCATAACACAAGCTTTAGCTAGCTTAACTTGGGTCTAGATGGCGCTGTGTGAATTGTCCTGAGATTATTATTATTATTATTATAACCCTCCAAGTTTTTTTTTGTAATTACAACACGTGGCCCCACATAGTATACATAAGATAGTTCTCAGTGGTACTGGACTATTCTAAGGCTGGCCGCAGCTGGACTTTACAGGTTCACCGGGCGATAGGGGGCGAGTGCAGATGGCACTCCAAACCAAAGGAAGGACTTATGGAGCGGCTGAAGGCCAACTCCCGCCTGACGGATACGACTTTACTCTGAGGGCACCGCTAGGGGTTCGTACCTTGGCTCAGGCCGTCGTAATTTCGGTCCCCGTTTAATTTGGACGGGAGATCGATTGGATGGGACAAGGATTATGTAAAACTAGCCTTTGCACGTGGCATCACTCGCGTTAATTTATCCCTTTAGGGGTGGAATTTATCAAAATCCTTTCTTAGATGATGCCTACGTCATAGGAGCTTTATGCATGCAGTCTCAGTCCGATCGGTTTAAAAATCCCCTATTTTATCCCCTAGGGGGTAGAATTAATCAAAATCCTTTCTTAGCGGATGCCTACGTCATAACATCTACCTGCATGCCAAATTTTAGCCCGATCCGTCCAGTGATTTGGGCTGTGCGTTGATAGATCACTATGTCAGTCATCTTTGAGTTATATATAATATATTTAGATATAGATACCCACGTCGTCTCGTTACGGCCACTAATTATATTATTTCTGTTTGACAAAAATGCAATAGCATTACATTCTTCCTAAATTAAAAACTAAATCTTTATTTTTATAATCATGTACAGACTCATTTGAAAAGTATAAGAGCTGAGTTTCTGTCAGATGTTCTTGGCTTGTAAGCAGTCCAAACTGATGGAGATTTCATCATAAAAGCCTAAATAAATGAAGATATTTTGATTTGATTTGACTACTATACAAAGCATATTTATCGGGAACTAATTACCTTAATTAATATGTATATCTGAATATAAATAACTACTAAACTAATACACTTTCAGGTTCCCTCGGTAACACATGGAGACAAGGTGACTGGAGGCCGAAATACAAAATGGAACCAGATATTGTACCTCTAATCGATAGGAATTTAACAAATTGTGAATGCCAAAAAATAAATGAAACTGGTCTATATGAAGGTGAATTAAATGAAACGAATCTATATGAAAATGAATTAAACGATGTTACATTTAATGAATCTTTTTACGATGACATAAAAATAATACCCAGCGATGACGTTTTCATAACTGAAAATTTCTACAACAACACTTTGTTGGATCAAGTGGAAATCGTTGACAATTATGAAGTACAAGCCGAATTTGTAAGGGATTTATTTAATAAGGAAAACATTAATAATTGTGATCAATACGAATATAACAATGAAACTGGTTTAAATGAAGCAAACATATGTACATTTAATGAAGTTTACATAAATGAAAACATTAATGGTAAATATGAAGCTCAAAATGATATTAATCATAATTATAATGAAATTGCAAATGAAATTCATACGAATGATAGTAACTGTTGTAAATGTGACAAAACTAATGAAAAGAGAGTAAATATTAATGTTAGTGATAAATATGAAAATATGGAAACTGATATAAATGAAAGTGAATCATGTAATTGTAAAACAAATGAAAGTAGGCGCTGTGATGTAGGTTGTGGGTGTGTTTGTGATGAATGTTATTCTACATGTTGGCCCAAAGATTGGATAAAAGAAGATTATCCTAACGCTAGAGTTATATCGATTAATTACACGAGTGACCCCCATCTGTGGAGACCGCTATGGGTTAAAGAAAGTAAGAGGTAAGAAATGTTTTCTTGCAAATACACACTTCCTAAAGAGTCTGCAAATATCGTTTAAAGTTAATATTTTTTATGGGAATGGACATTAAATTCAATACAATATGATACAGAAAGATATTTAGGATCTATATATTTACTAGCTGTGCCTGCGATTTCATCTACATGAAATTTGTAGCCTATTTGTTATTAGCTATATTACCGTAAATTTTCATCGAAATTCGTTCAGTAGTTTTGGCGTGAAAGAGTAACAAACAGCCATCCATCCATATTCACAAATATTCGCGTTCACAATACACTAGCTTTTGCCCGCGGCTTCGCTTGCGTTAATTTATCCCCTTAGGGGGAAATTGTCAAAATTCTTTCTTAGGAGATGCCTACGTCATAGTAGCTTTATGCATGCAAAGTCTCAGCCCGATCGGTTTAAAATTGACAAAGTTTCATACGAACTTTCATCCCCTATTTTATCCCCTTGGGGGTAGAATTAATCAAAATCCTTTCTTAGCGGATACCTACGTCATAACATCTACCTGCATGTTAATTTCAGTGGTTTAGGCTGTGCGTTGATAGATCACTATGTCAGTCACCTTTGAGTTATATATATTTAGATATTAGAAAGATATTTTTTGTTGGCTTAGTTAAGTTGTCTCTTAAACAAATAAATCAATGTAATTGGGATTGTTAGTAATGTGGACTTGCTAGCAATTATTGTACATTGCTAGTCAGATTGACATCCACGCGGTTTCCCCTGAAAACCATCGTGTTAAATTCATGGTTTTGCCACGATGTGCTAACTGACTGACTTCATGCTCATCTTATCATCTTCCACTGGTGCCCCGCCAGCGTAAACCGTTAGCGCAGGCGGGTGCACCATACCATTATCATCCATTATAAAATAATGTACATAGAAATCATCCAATCATTTTCTTTTTCGCACTATCCCACTTTACATGGGTTCGGCTCTTCTAATTTTGCGGCGCCAGGACAATCCAAAAAAAGCAAATAAATAAATGTAATTATTCACGTATACTCGTCTAACTGTTAGTTATCAATTTCATCAGGTTAGTGTCAGGGTTAGCTTGTTAGCCGTTTCCAACTGCCGTTAGGCGACCGTTACCACTTACAATCAAATGGGCATCTGCTGGTTTGGCATTTCATTTATATGAAAGAACTAGCTGTACCAGTAATTTCGTCCGCGAGGAATTTATTTTTATTTTCCTAAAATAAAATAATTTTTCTAAGATAAAAGTAGCCTAAGTTATAGAGTTATATATAGTTATAGCCTAAGCCTAAACACACAAAAATACGTTTTTAAAGCAATCATTATCATCATCATCATCTCAGCCCGGAAGACGTCCACTGCTGAACAAAGACCTTCCCCAAAGATCTCCACGACGATCGGTCCTGCGCTGTTCGCATCCAATGCCTTCTAGCGATCTTGATCAGATCGTTGGTCCACCTTGCTGGAGGCATTCCCACGCTGCGTCTTCCGGTCCGGGGTCGCCACTCGAGGACTTTACTGCCCTAACGGCCATCTGTCCCACGAGCTATGTGCCCTGCCTATTGCCACTTCAGAGTCGCAATTCTTCGGGCTATGTCGGTCACTCTGGTTCTTCTGCGGATCTCCTCATTTCTGATTCGATCACGCAGAGTAACTCCATTGCCCTCTAAGTGATTCTGAGCTTGTTCATGGGGCCCACAGTTAGCGACCACGTCTCTGTGCCGTAAGTCATCACTGGCAACACTCATTGGTCATAAACCTTCGTCTTTAAAGCAATCAAAACATGAAATTTGAAAAATACTTTTTTTTCCTAAGTCTTTATTTTTTCCTATCCAAACCAGTTTATACGTTTTTTACAAAAAAGGCTGGCAACCCTACTTACCATCATCTTAGTTGCCATTAGAATTCAATAAAAAAATGTATGTAAATTTGCAGGTTACGTTTACACGAGCGAGCGCAACAGATGACAGAACAACTCTTAGCATTAAATGTGGGGGAGAAACCAATCATATGGGTAGGACATTCAAAAGGAGGCCTCTTCATAAAGCAGATATATTGTGAAGGTAATATTTTGGGGCGTAGCTACCGTATCAATTACACGGGTCCTGTACAGAGTGGGTCTAAAGATAGCTTTTAAAAAAACAATTATTTAAATTTCAAGAGGATTTCATCATATTTAAATTTCAGTAACAGAAATAGAAACAGAAATAATCTGTATTCGAAAACTCATTACAAGCACTTTTGAATAGTCATATTTTGATTCTACCACTCATTCGGAATGCAGATTCATCACAAGAAGAATGAGCAAGAAACTTGTGTGTTGCTCTTTTTAATAGATGTTTTTTTATATAAATAAGTACATTATAACAGACGGAATGTATCAAAAGGGTAATTTTTTTTATGAATACAATATATTGATGTGGATTCTAACACGGCTTTTTCTGAACCATTGTAACTACTGTATTGTGAAACTGCAACAGTCCCCCAGGGGCGTGTGTAAGACCCAACGTGCATGAGCAAAAATTAACGTCCAAAATTATTTTCATTTCACAAATGACAAAAGTAAAGAAAAGCAATTTCTTCTTGTCCCGCAGCAAAAATTAACTTCCCAATTTTGTTTTATTTCACAACTGACAAATATACATAAGTATAAAAATTGACAATAAGATAATAATAATAATAATAAAACTCTTTATTGTGTACACATAAAATAATAAGAAAATACAGTAAATAGTAAAATAATAACAAAAGGCGGTCTTATCGCTAAATGCAATCTCTTTCTGATAAAATATCAAGATACCAAAGGATATATTGGAATTACCCTTAAATAAATTCAAAACATCTGTTAAATCATATTTCATACTCACTAAACGATTACTTGAATGACGAGCGTGCATGGCAATAGTTGTTCATGTTCGGGATTTTCATTTAATGTTAGACATAGACACCTATATAAATACCTATAGAAAACTCTTTATAAACTATAGAAAGAATGTCAGATATAAGGTATGGCAACGCCAATGTCATTGTTGGTGATAGATCTTGCCAGGAAATCTTTGTTTTCATTGCCGAAAACACCAATATGTGATGGTGCCCATAATAAAATAATATCATAACATTCCAATGAGAGCTCATATAATAATTGCTTAACCTACATTATAAATAATCTGGCTTTAAAAAAAAAGTAATTCAATTGAGTTTCTTGCCAGTTCTTCTCAATTGGATTTACATACCAAACTGGACGGTAGGGAAAAAAAATTATAATGTAAAAACTTGATATTCATAAGCGGCTAAAATGTTCTACATGAATAAATGATTTTTGATTTTTGAATTTACTCTCTGCTACCAAAAGGTTAGGGAATTTACTATGTATATATATAGGGAAAAAGATGTGGAAGCGTCTGTCGCGTACCTGTATGGTTCTGCGGATTTCTTGGGCTTCAGGGTCTCGAAGGTATCTTCGCTAGCTTTCCAGTTTCACAGTAGGTTTAACACAGTTCTAATTTATTTTAATTCACAACACAAATGCGCGCGCGCTTTAAGGCCGCTGTGCGGTCAGTTCAGTACTAGGTAAGGGAGGGGAAGGGAACCGCGGGAACACAAACTAACGGACTCTAATATAATAATCTGTGCTTACGATAGTACAGGGTAGATTTTGAACAGAAATGTAAAAAATAGCAATTTCTTGTTTTTCCGCATCAGCTATAAATGTTTTAATAAATTAATTGCCGGAAAAAAGGCAAGGAGAATGTATATTTAATTTGAATTGTTTGTAACAAATTTTGGAAAAAGTGACAGATAATTGAGATGAATAAACATTTTTTTTTTAATATACCTTTTTAAAAAACATTGTTATGACTCTTCAAAAGTGCTTAAATTAAGTTTATTTGAATAAATTTATGCAATTTTTTATTCTTTTTTGAGAAATCTTTACGTATGGCCCAACAAAAACAAATGTTTATACGGGGCCCCGCCAAGGCACGCTGCACTTCTGTTATTGTTTAAACCTTAACTTTTAAGTTACTCTTATCATCATTGTCAATTAAACTTTAGAGAAATATATTAATCCAAAAAACTTGTTCACAAGCGACTAAAATGTCCTACATAAGTAGAGGACGGCCTCAGTGACCTAGCGGTAGCACACCTCTTTACTTCCGATGGTCGCGGGTTCGATCGCACAGTACTACTGTACTGTATCGGTCTGGGTGTTTTCTATGTATATTATGTATGTATTTACAAAAAATCTAGCTATTTATATAGCGCTGTGTCAATTGTCCTGATTGTTCACCCGCATGAAATTTATAGCATATATGTTATTCTGATGTATAAGCTATATATTGGACAATGTATTATTCCTATGCGTGTATCACAGTTACTGCTTGCATTATTTTGTGTTGTGTTGTATCTATTTATTGCATGTTGTTATGTATGTATGTATATATATAATATTAATATTGGTGTATACTGTTTATATATGTAATATGTTATGTTATTCATTATTATTCATTTGTCATTATTATTATTATGTTTTTTTTTATCTCTCCTATTCTAGTGCCACCTCCCACCTTTTGTTTTTTTCTCCTCTACCCAAAGGTTGCCTGGAAGAGATTGTATAAGCGATAAGGCCGCCTTTTGTACCCTTTTATTTTAATTACTCTATTAATGTAATTTTTCCTGGTGCAATAAAGAGTATATAAATAAATAAATAAATAAATGTCATAAAAATCCGTTCTGTAGTTATTGCGTAAAAGAGTAACAAACATCCATCCATACTCACAAACATCCGCGTTTATAATATTAATAAGATAATTTGTAATATAAAATATCCTGCGATTTCGTAAATAATAGTAAATTTAGTTATAACTAGCTGTTCCCACGACCTCGTGGGGTGTTATTTTTCTAAAATAAAAGTAACCTAAGTTACTACTTATTACATCAGCTACCTGCCAAAAAAGTCCCATCAAAATCGGTCCAGCCAATTCAGAGATTAGCCGGAACAATCAGACCGACAGACAGACAGGCGACAAAGATAAAAAATGTTATTTTGGTATATGTACCGTATATATATTTCTATGCATGTAGTTAAAAACTGTTATTTCAATATTACAAACAGACATTGCAATTTTATTTATATGTATAGATTTATTTTGTTACATTTATTTATAATTGTTTCAGCATATGAAGCATATTTAAAAACTGAAAAAGATTTATTTAAAACTAATAATAGTAATGATGTAGAACATAATGAGACAGAATATTTAGATATGACTAAACATAATAACGACAACGAAATATACAACATAAAAGATTATAAAGATAATAAAGAAGAAAAAGAAATTACAGAAGAAACTGACAAAGATTATAAAACAGACTCTCAAATAACAAAACTTATTAATGATGTAACTGAACAATATTCTGAAAGGAGCAGCGTCTGTAATGTAACAAATGTTAAAGAAAGAATGTGTAAAAGAAACGAAAATGAACAAATTAGAAAAGATTTTGATGGAGTTAGTGAATCTGATTTCAAAATCATTGATCAAGAAAGAGGTAGGATCTACAGTGTTACAAGCGTTAATAAACATATAATTGCAGATGTTGAAAATGCCAATGAAGATAATGAATTTGTTAATAATAATATACATATAGAAGTAAATGTAGTAGATAATGAACTGAATAATAATGTTAAATGTGATACAATAGACAATATTGTAAGTGTTGATGCAGATAAAGATGTTGTAAGAATTGATGATCAAATGAGGTCTTCAGAGAATGAAGGTAAAGTTTAAATGTTGGAATTTTAATATACAACTAAAAAAAAAAACTTTTTGCCCCGCACAACCACATTGTGGAATCACCTTCCAGCAATGGTATTTCCGAACCGATACGATATTGAAACCTTCAAGAAAAGAGCTTATTCCTTTTTAAAAGGCCGACAACGTACTTGCAATACCCCTGGTGTTGCGGGTGCTCATGGGCGGCGGTAGTCACTTAGCATCAGGTGAGCCGCATGCTCGTTTGTCACGTGTTATAAAAAAAAAACTTTTTTAAATTTGAAAGTACAAACGAGTTAACGGTCCAACTGATGGTAAATGGCAACCGTCTACTATAGGGATGTTCAAGTATTACTTAAGAGCTAATGGGGTAGATATTGCTTTGCTTATTTTGGATGACATGTTTATAGGGGGTGGGGGAATGGGGGTCTAGATGATTACGTCATCGGTCACGCCTCTTACCCTGTAATTTCACTGCCTAATCTGCACCCTACAACTGAAACAGCTTACAAAGCAAGCTGCTTGACGGCTGAATAGCTGAGACTGAGGTACACACGCGGACGAATTTTTCCTGTCTACCTTTCATGATGAATTTTTAATCACTACAGAAGATCCTGAGTCGAGGATACATAGTCTGTGGTCCAACAGTGTAGGCTTCATGTTCTACTCTGTGCCCCACAGAGGGTCCCCGCTTGCAGACTTCAAAATGCCCATCACGGCCAGGAGTATAGAGCTACTGGAAATAAGCAAAGGTAATTGAAAGACCATTTTTTATGTAACTATCTACATTTATTTTCTTTTCTATAGATGACTAGCTGTATCCGTATCTTCGTCCGCGTGGAATTTAACTTCAACAAGAAAATCGGTCCAGCCATTTCAGATATCAGCCGGAACAAACAGACAGACAGAGAAAAACTGTAAAAAATGTTATTTTGGCGTATGTACGGTATTTATATTCATATGTATGTAGTAAAATCTGTTATTTCAATATTACAAACAGACACTCCAATTTTATTTATATGTATAGACTAGCTGTACTCGCGACTTCGTCTGCGTGGAATTTAACTTTATTTTTCTAAAATAAAAGTAGCTTAAGTCACTCTTTATTATATCAGCTACCTGCAAAAAGTCCCGCCAAAATAGGTCCAGCCATTTCAAAGATTAGCCGGAACAAACAGTACTCGTAACTTACATTTAAGTTCGAGGAGTGCAAGGAATCGAACCTGCGACAATAAGACAATAAAAATAAATAATAAATAACCCTTTACCATCAGATGGGCCGTATGCTTGTTTGCCACTATCTTAGTATACAAAATCTTTCAGATTGCACCTTGGTCCTCTCTCTACAAGAACGATGGCTGCGAGCGACCGCACCAGCTAAACCTGCAGTCAGGAGTCTGGTGGAAACCACACGTACCCTCATGTCCATTCTATGGTTGAGAATTGTCAGCATTCACTCCGCTGGTAAGGAATATTCTATACAGTAATATCTGTCAACACTCTAGTAAATTGAAACACTACTAACAATTCCCATTCTCTCCTATAAATTTATGTAATCCTGGTACTTTCACTGTAAAACCACTGTTTCACACTTGCCTTTTTATGTAACTGAAATGGTAAGTCAACTGACGGCAGGTTTTTTTTCAGATGCCGGTATTGGAGGATTGTACGGCGTGTCGGTTGATCATAGGGAGATATGCAAACCTTCCAGTCGACACTGTATGCTGTACAAGGAACTACTAAACCTTATGAACACTGCACTTAACAAATGTCGCTGTAATTGAAATTAGATAGAAAGAATTAAAAACCAATAACATTAACGTTAGAAATACATAGTATGGGCGGATCTACCAGAGGGATTTTAGGCTGTAGCCCAGGGCACCGTGGATATAAAGGGACCCCCAGGTCCCACTGAAAATAAGTGATGATATAGATAGACTTCTATATATCGTTTATTTGTTTGTTACTAATCACACACAAATACAAATTCATCATCATCATCATCGCAGCCCGGAAGACTTCCACTGCTGGACATAGGCCTCCCCCAAAGATCTCCACGACGATCGGTCCTGCGCTGCTCGCATCCAATGCTTTCCCGCGATCTTGGCCAGATCGTCGGTCCACCTTGCTGGAGACATGTTCTTTTATTTAGAATTTAAAAAACAGCATCAGGGGTGGATCTATTTAAGGGCTTTTTAGGTTATAGTCCAGGTCCCTGTGGATACAAAGGGGCCCCTAGGTCCCACTGAAAATAATAGGCGATATTTAGAAAAAAAATATATCTTACATAACAAAAACTTTTAAATACAACTTACAATACAGACAATAAACTTTACTCTTGAATACTCTATGACTAAAAAATTTATTAAAATCCGTTGCATAGTTTCAAAGATATAAGCGAACAGACAGCGGAAACGATTTCATTTTATATTATGTAAAGATATTGAAAGTCGCAAAATAAAAAATGTTTTACTGCCATCTAGCGTATTTTTGAGGTACTTCTCTTTGTACTATTTAATAGTAGCCAATTAGTGCGTTAAAAGTATGCTAGATGGCGCTAAAAGACAAAATCACCTTTTTATTTTCTATCTTCTACAAAAGAACACTTGAAATGAACCCTGGCGAATCTTTGTCGCCCAAACATTGGTGGTGGAATGTAATAAATAATGTTTAAGAATTTATAAGAATAATATTGTAAATAAATGATATGAATGTTTTTATTGTATCAATAAATTTGTTTAGTTTTGTTTTCATTCGCCTTTTATTATGTATTACCTTTTACCCGCGGCTTCGCTCGCATTGAATCCATTCAACTTCATTGGCTGCTAGATGACGCTGAAGTAGCAAAATGCTGATATTTTATTTTGTTTTTTACATTATAATTTTTTTTTTTTTAAATTATAAGTATCCTATGTTAATTGTAATACCTCCATGAACATGTGTACAAGATTTCATGATGATCGGTTCAGTAGTTTTTGCGTGAAAGCGTAACAAACATTCCTACTTTCACATTTATAATATTGGTAAGGTTTTGGACGCTAGTAATATGTGGACTACCTGATGGAAAGTTCTAGGTTGGTAGTAGTGGCGTAGCTGCCTAAAAGCTAGGCTGGGCAGTGCCCCGGGTCCCTCAAGCTCAGGGGGCCTACCAGCTTATACTCTAAGGGCTGGGCTTACCAGAAAATCTTGATCGAACTGAACTTTTCAAAATAAATATGACAAATTGCAACCAGACTTTAATCATGGCAACTCAGTTGAAATTCGAAAATCTTGGGCTAAGACTTTTATCCATAGTCGTAAACATTTTAATAAAAAAAAAATCGAAAGTTATACCTTAGGAATTCACCTAAATTGTTTGTTGGTTGGTCGTGTTGTCAATTTGATGTATAGTGATATGTGCGTTTTAATAAAACTGTAATGTAAGGCCCCAGAGCTAAGCAGTGGAGCCCAATTTTTTGATTTGTCCCAGGGCCCTTGGTTATCTAACTACGCCACTGGTTGGTAATAATTGTCGTATTTTATAACAATATAAGTAGTACAACCTATAAAAATTTAATAATAAATAATCTGTTATATAGATTGCCCCAAACCAAATAACTTTTGAAGGTGCAATTTCCTCACCGGAAATTTCACTAAATGCATATGAAATAATATACGGTACTTACTTTAAAAAAAATGTCTCTTTATTCTTGCTTAACTGTGAAGCGGCTAGACCGATTTTAACGGTACTTTCACTCGCAGATAGCTAATGTTATAGGGAGAATCTTGGGTTACTTTTATTTTTGAAATATTTACTAGTTGTGTCCGCCTTACTAGAAATTTATAGCCTATGTTATTCTGATGTATAGACTATATTACTGAAAAGTTTCATCACAATCCGCTCAGTAGTTTGTGTGAAAGATACAATATATAACCGCGAATTCCGTTGCGCCTTAAAATTAAATATGTTAAGTTTAGTTACGCAATAAACTAAACGTTTGAGTTATCAGCAGTTTGTATGGGAAAATAAATTTGTTGTTCTTACTATTTTACATGCAACTTCTTTATATTTTATAACCGTTTAAACCTTTCCAGTACTTCCACAAATATTTCAAGACTAAAATTAGCGAAATCGGTTCAGCCGTTCTCGAGTTTTAGCGAGACTAATGAACAGCAATTCATTTTTATATATAGAAGATATTTCTATATAATCCGGCTGACTACTGGACTTTTTGTACAGTTACAGTTACAGTCTACATGGGTATTTATTACGGGTAGAATTGAGCGAGACTGACTCGATCAATTCTAGCGCTAAGGTTCCTATGTGTGAAGAGTGTGAAATAAGCAAAGGTAACTGTAAGCCCAAACTCTATCCCACTAACTATCTATAACTTCATGTTATCCTGGTACTTTTGATCTGTAACTGTAGGGGGGCCCCTACAGTTACATTTCAAAAGTACCAGGATAACCTCCCCTTAGTGGGGGAAAGGGATTGTTAGTAATGTGGACTCTCGACCCCATTGCTAGCAATGTACCATGTCAGGTTGACCTCCACGCGGTTCCCCCTGGAAACCATCGTGATAAATTCCAGGTGAAATTATCACGATGGGCTAACTGACCTGACCTCATTCTCATCTTATCATCTTCCACTGGTGCCCCGCCAGTGTATGCCGTTAGCGCAGGCGGGTGCAACATTACATTCCATAATAAAAAAAATATTTCCCTTCCACCCTAATTCTAGCGCTAAGGTTCCTAATTCTAAAGGGATTGTTAGTCATGTGGACTAAGAACCCCATTGCTAACAATGTACCATGTCAGGTTGGGCTTCATGGAAAACCATCATGGTAAATTGCCATTTGCCAAAATGTGCTAACTGACCTGACCTCACACTCACTGGCGGGGCACCAGTGTACACCGTTAGCGCAGGCGGGTGCACCATTACATTATGATCCATAAAAAAAAATGCAGGGGAAAAGGATTGTTATGTGGACTAATAACCCCATTGCTATTTACCAGGTTCAGGTTGACCTCCACGCGTTTCCGTCTGGAAACCATCACGTTGTTTCTGGTGATATTGTCACGATGTGCTCTGACCTGACCTCACTCGTCCTATCATCCTTCTAAAAACGTTAAATATTAAACTGTTATTATGTGTGAAAGTCTTTGGCTTTTTTATTATTTTCTTATTGGAGGGTTCGGGCAATTGTCAGATGTAAAGACCAGTAACACTGCGAGAGACTAGTGCCTCTTGACGTGAGCTCTCTTGACTGCCTAAATCTGTTAGGTTACTCGTCAAACTTTCTATTGTCTTTTCACATAGATCTGTTCTGCTCGCCCTTTATCAAAGTTCGCTACCTAGACCCGTCAGGGACAAGAATTAAAGGATATCCTTAGGAGCGATGGTTTTTATCTCCTCAGGATAGAGTGTAAACTTTCCAAAGGAGATATTTCGCTTATGCATGAATGGGCTACAACTACATAGGATGTGTAGTGGCGTTTCCTCTTCAGTTTGGCAGAATCTGCAGATTTCTGTTGTGCATAGGTCTTAGTGTGTTTTTATATTGATTCAACATGTGTATAGTTAGACTTTATTTTTATTAATAAATGAATAAATAAATATTGTTTTTTTTATTTGTCTCTGGAAGAAATACTATCTACGATACAGGTACGGCCTATAGTCTGTTTTTTAATCCAGGAGACAAATTTGACATTACCAATGTTGCCAGGTTTTTGGATTTTTAAATAGGGTTGTGGCACTATCGGAAATTAAAACTAATATGTCAAAATAAAAGTTTCCGATTAAACAATCGGTATCGCAGGTACACCACTACCCCGCTGTAGGTGGTAACATTATTTTAAAATTTCACATTTACACCCGTTAGTTTAGTCTCCGGGATTAAAAAACTGACTATAGCAGTAAATTCTCTGAAATGTATGCTTATTTAATAAGAATGTAAGTTTGTGAGAATGTCTGTAAATATATGAAATAGGTGTCAATAAATTATTATTATTATTTAGTTTTATTATCAGTTTTCTGTTCCTTCGCAATTTTTTTTTATAAATAAATGTAATACCTTTTATAACACACAAATGGCACGCAGATGGAATTATAGAGCGGTCGTCTTATGATTAAATATAACATATAACAGATTTAGCACAATTATATTTGGTACGCTTTATATAGTGAGACCCCGTTTAACTCGGGTGATACTTTCTAATAAGTTCCAGCGCTAAACGAAACAGCGATAAAGAATATAGTCATCTTTAATAGAGTAGAAAATCATCTATTCAAATACTAGCTACTCGCCCCGGCTTCGCCCGGGTGTACTTGTGTTATATATATAAACCTTCCTCTTGAATCACTATCTGTTTAAAAAAAACCGCTTCAACATCCGTTGCGTAGTTTTAAAGATTTAAGCATACATAGGGACCATCACAAGAAGAACGAGCAAGAAACTTGCGTGTTGCTCGCTCTTTTTCTTTCTTTCCTTTCTTCGGAATCATTACTATAAATATTTCAGTTTTCTTATTCAGTTAAATCCTCGAGCTCAATATTATAAAGAAACCGAAAAAGCGCTAAACGAAATAGAGTTAAACAGGGTCTTTCTGTATACATACATAGGTAGTAATTTAGGCTGCATAAAAAAATTCAACGAAACAGTTGTCATAATCTTGTAATTTAAAAGTATAGTATTAATTTATATATATATATACGTAATTAAACAAATTTATAGCATTATAAACATACTAACTTTGATATTTAACTTATTTTCGAGGTGGAATCATAGATTATGACAACTGCTTTTTTAAATTTAAGTTATATTAAAAGCAGTTTATATTGCTTTAAAAAATTAAACGGACTTATATAGATTGTGCTAATTCCGGTATATGTTATTTATGTAATATGCTCATAAGAAATACCAATAAAGAAGAGACAAGATAATATTCAGCCAACATTTAAACGTCTGCTGTTTAATAGTGTTGATTGCAGCTTCCCAGATGCCGCCAAATTTATAAATTAATATACATGACCGCTCTATAATTACCTCAGTGGCTCATATAGATTACATTTTAAAACGGTGGGTACATAATCTGACCAGTGGCGTAGCTACCTAGGGGCTAGGCGGGACAGTGCCCCGGGGCCCTCAAGCTCAGGGGACCCTCGAACCCTTACCAGAAAATCTCGAACTGAACTTTTCAAAATTTCTCCCATTTTCAAAATAAATATTCCAGATTGCAACCCAAGTTTAATCATGGCAACTCAATCAATTGAGAGAAATTCGAAAGTTATACCTTTGGAATTTCCCTAAATTCTTTGTGGGTTGGCAGTGTTGTCTGGCGGATAGCGATATGTGCATTTTTAAACTGTAATGTAGGGCCCCTGTTGAGCAGTGGGCCCCATTTTTTGATTTGCCCCAGGGCCCTTGGTTACCTAACTACGTCACTGAATCTGACACCAAGGTTGGTCACGCCCTATGCGTATATAACAAGGAGCAGGGTAAACAAATGGCGATTCAGGCGATGGTACGGAGATGACGGGTTCCATATCTCTCTAGCAACTTCATTCTTCCCCTGAAGGGAATTGTTATTAATATGGGTTCATGACCCCACAGCTAGCAATGTATCATGCCAGACCTCCACGCGGTTCCCTCTGGAAACCACTGTGATAAATTCCTGGTGAATTTGTCACGATGGGCTAACTGACCTGACCTCATGTTTACTTATCATCTTCCACTGGTGCCCCGCCAGCGTAAACCGTCAGCGCCACCGGGTGCACCATTCCATTATCATCCATAAAAAAAAACTAGCATTCTTCTCATAAAATTCTCCATAACACAAGCTCTGCTTAGCTTAAAACTAAATGGTGCTGAGTTTTCTTGGATATATTATTATTATTGTTTATTCTCATAGAATTTAAAACAATAAGCCGTGTACTAAAAAAATATCAAATCATAAAATACATTATTAGAAATTAACTAGCTATGTCCGCGAGTCACTCGCGTTAATTTTCAATAACAAATATAGCCTATATGTTATTCTGATGCATAAGCTATATTACTGCAAAGTTTAATCAAAAGTTCAGTAGTTTTTGCGTGAAAGAGCAACACACATCCATAGTCACAAACTTTGGCGTTTATTATATTGTTAAGATCAAGATTAGCGAAGTAAATATTTAAGTAATTTTAAAGTTTTGTTAGAAATTAGAATGTTGTTGTGGAGAATTTGTAAAAACATACTATGTTATAGACACGTGTTATAATTTACTATATTTTCCTCATCACTCGAAGAAAACTAAACTATTAATACTGATTTCTGGTATCTGACTATATCTTGCAACTTTACATCTCATTCTGGAACTTTCTATGTGATTTTTAAATTAAAACTTAACTTCTTAGTTAATTAAATGAAGATTTATTTATATATTATTTGTACTAGGAGCCGTTCAAGTATTACATAAGCTGATTTATTACAATTATTTACCCCCATCCCCCTTGTCAGCAAACGTAAGCAAAGCTCTTACCCCCTCCCCTGTGCTTACGTGAACATTTTTCAATTAATGTATTGTTTTTTTAGCAAAGACAACGTGAGTGTTGCCATACGTGTAAAAAAGTAAATTACTACCGATGACGTAATCATCATCTACATTCCCGTGTCCTCCCCTACCGCTCATGTCATCCTAAATAAGCAAAGTAAAGAAAATAGTGCTTACGTAACACAGGAAGGCTCTCTGCGGATTTCGTGGTTTATTGAACTGCAGCCTCCCATAATCCACCAAGTTTGCGATACATATTTTAATTCTGTCATATTAATTTATTTAAATTGCCTATATCACCTTTATCCTTATATATATATGCTAGTAAGAGCTTTGCTTACTTTTGCTGACAAGACAACCCCTCCCCCATGCTTACGTGAACATTTTTCAATTAATGTATTGTTTTTTAGCAAAGACAATGTGAGGGTTGCCATTCGTGTAAAAAAAAACTACCTATGACGTAATCATCATCTACACTTCTCTACAGCCCATGTCATAAAAAAAGCAAAAGGAATTTTTTTTCTAACATTTCTCATTTATTTTAGTGCACCGCCAACAATCTTTCTCTGCACCACTCATGGTTGACTAGTAGATAACGCCGCAAGGTGTTAAGTCCACATGTACACATTGTTTTTGTGCATTACAGTTAAATAAATAAATAAAAACAGTGCTTACGTAATACTTGAACGGACAGACATAAGTCAAGGCATGTATTTTAATATGACTCAGAAAAATAATCAACATTTCGAATGCTAAATTTCCTTAATTCATTCTTCTTTTTCTTTAGATAGATATAATTATTTGTTCTCTTGTATAAATCTAGATATTATTCTGGAGTTGGACGTGAATAATTTTTATGAACTAAGAACCAAATCTGTTATAGCTATTAGGGGCTGTTCAAGTATTACGTAAGCAGATTTATCACAATTATTTACCCCTCATCCCCCGTTGTCAGCAAAAGTAAGCAAAGCTCTTACCCCTCCCCCCATGCTTACGTAAACATTTCTCAATTAATGTATTGTTTTTTTAACAAAGACAATGTGAGGGCTGCCATTCGTGTAAAAAAGTAAATTACGACCGATGACGTAATCATCATACAGACTCCCCCACCCCCATGTCGTCCAAAATAAGCAAAGAAAAGACCCCCCGCCCCCCTATAGTGCGTACGTAATACTTGAACGGCCCCTTATGTTTATTAGAGATGTGTCAACTCGAGTTGGAAGAATTCAACTGGTAAATGAATGAATCAAGTAAAAGAGCGAGAGCATGATTCTATCATCGAACCGACAATGACATGAAATTTTCCGATCATTTCATATCATACAATTTTCACTCGTCATAAATATTTCAATATTGATTTGTGGTCGTTATCATTTTGTTTTCGCATATTCGTCCGGTTATGTTATCATTAAAATGATTATGCGTTCTATAAGTCCTTCCGCGGTATTAAAGAGCCTTTTCTACTCGCCCCCTATAGTTCGATGAAGCTTTCAAGGCTAGATGCGCCCAAAAATAGAAAATTAAAAAAAAATGAAAAAAACTTTTTATTCCTGGTAATTCGAGTCGACGAATCAACTCGAGTCATGTTTATTACGATTTAGCACATCTCTAATGTTTATTGGTTCTTATAATTCTTATATTTATAAGAAATGGTGCAGTATTTTTACTAACATTTCAGATTTGCCGTAATTTAAGGACAATTTCTTGGCGAAACTGAAACCAATATGCAACTACGAGTTTTCCAAAATATACGGTTTTATCGGACATTATATATTTCCATGTCTATTCCGTCGTATCAGAAATAGAATCAATGTGGACATACATACATTATAGGTCTTTAATATCGAAGTTGTAAATTTAAAAAATTAACACAGTTGTTAAAAAAACATCTTTTTACGTAATTGGTTTGATTCTGTTCTTATACATTTCTAGTTTTCGTAACAACAATGAATTTTTCACTTTATTCGTGTCCTTTGCGTTAAAACTGAATTCTACTTCCTCCGATTTTGACTGAGAATCATTTAATATTTGTATCTTTTCTAATAATACATTTTTGGTATCTAATTGAATATAATTTTGGGATTTAGAATCATTTGGTGGTATTAAAGAATTTATATTTTTACTCGGATTAGGATTTGAAACAGATTTAGATTTATTATTACAACTAAATTGCATTTCAGAATTAGTAGTACTACTAAACAATGATTCAGTAGTTTGTTTACCCTCAATTTCTGCATTAACTACCCCTTTAACAATATCATTATTTATACCTCTAATACATTCTGAAATTAACTTAAATTGTGTACGATCTTTGGCAATTTGATCACATTTTTTTTCCTCATCAATATCTAGTTTAGGTTTCTCCTTATGTAATTTTTTTAGTTTTTCTAATATAACTCGATTATTACAATTTTCGTTGTGGGGAGGACTTGTATTTATCGCATAAAATTCATTGACATTTGAATCAACTTTAGGCGTTACATTGATTTCTTTAACATCTTCATTACTGACATGATTTTTATCATTATTGATCTCTGAATAACTATTATAATTACTATTTTTAACGTGTTGGTTTATTTCAATTTGTTCAGTATTAGATGTCTTTAGTGGATATGGAAGTTCATTAATATCTTTAGATTTTATATCTTTATTATTAATAGAAGAATTCACATTTCCGTCCATTGATTTTTTAATTTCAACATCTTGATCAGTTTTGGTTTCAGTAACAAAATCATTATTACCTACAATTATATTGGATTCTTCATTTTCTTTAGCTTTAACTAGACTATTTTGTATTTTCGAAACTTTGGGCGATTTTTCTTTGTTAGAATTTTGATTTTTAATTCGAGTTTTTTGTACTTGATTTGAATTTGTAGGGTTTGTATTTGTACTATCTGACTTTACATCTATTGGTTCAATTACAGCAACAGCATTATTGTTTACTTCAAAACTATCACCTGTTTCTTTGGTTGCATTATTTGTACCTAATTCATTACTTTCAATAATTAAATTATTACTAATTAAACTGTTGCTATGCAGATCTACGCTACTTTCTACAACATTCGTATTACTTAATTCTACATTACTTACACTACTTCGCTCATTATCACATTTCAAATCATCACCAACACTATCTAATTGATCATTATTTACAATTAATACATCTACATCATTCATATCATTCTCCTTATCATTTCTATCATCATCATCGCTTCTATCACGTTTATCATCATACGTATCAGATCTTTCACATTGCCCGTCATCTTTATCGCCTAAACCAGTAACCTCGTCCTGCACCGTGGTATAATCACTTAGAGTATGGCCCGCCTAGGCGAACAGCGCCATTGGTTCTGCGTTTAGTATCTCGCACACAAACTGATCTTGCTCCAATGGTTTCTTCACCCAACGCCCGAGTTTCGCTTTCTCGAATGCTTGGATCAGTCTGTCTTTTGCTGCCTGTGGAGTGAAAATTATTATTTTAAGAGAGCATTACTTTCGTAGACATCTTCGTTGGTCTAGATGTTTAGCACACCGTTTTACTTCCGATGGTCACGGGTTCGATGTGTCGCACGGTACAAATATTTGTATTCATAAGTATGCTAGTGTATCAGTCCACTAGTGCAAGTAGTATAACAAAAGATCAGCTTAGATTGGGACTAGATGGCGATGCATGTAGATGGAGTGTGATGTCCTAGGTAAACATAATTGTTACAATATATTATTTTAAACATAAATATCTAGAACAATTGTTATCACTTCTGGATTTTCTAATGTAGAGGGGCAAAAGATGGCGGCCTATGAACGGTGACTCGGACAAAAAGGGCATTACACGAGCAGCTTGCGAACGGAATAGACGTGTTTTTTTTTTCATACATACATCAATCCCGGTTATGATTATCAGAAGCACCAACAGCGCACGTCCACGCAGACAGCAATAGGTACACAATTTATATATATTAAACTAGGTGTTCCCGCTACTTCTTCCGCGTGAAATTTAACTTTATTTTTCTAAAATAAAAGTATCCTAAGTTACGCCTTATTACATCAGCTATCTGCTAAAAAAAGTCCCGTCAAAATCGGTCGAGCCATCAGAGATTAGCCGGAATAAACAGATAGACAGACCAAAAAATGTTATTTTGGCGTATGTACCGTATTTATATTCATATGCATGTAGTAAAAACGGTTATTTCAATATTACAAACAGACACTACAATTTTATTTATATGTATAGATTAATTCCACTGAAAATCAGCGTTTGGGCATTACAGCCCAGACACAAAGCTGAGTGGAAACGAATTTGGTCGCAGCTGTATTTTTAAAATAATTAGTTACAATTTTTGTAATATGTTGTATTGTTTTGTATGCGCCAAATAAATATATTTTTCTTTCTTTCTTTCTTTGTTTCTTCTTTCTTTTTTCTTTCTTTCTTTCTTTCTTTCTTTATATGAACTTCCAGGCTTATCCAGCTTATTCCTGCTTATTAACTTAGGCATCTTACCTTACCTTCAACGTTTTCTTTACATCTGTAATATTACTTAACATTTTTCTTTTACCTACAAACTACTCGTTGCTGTCATTTTATTGGAACGGACGAGTTGTGGTTCCTAACTTTTATTCTAACACAATATATTTAAAAAGAAACATTGCGTGTATAATGTTCCTATGATTTTTTTTATTGGGTTGTTTGGATTATTGTCAGGTGTTTGGACTTATTGTTCTCGCCCTTTTTCAGAGTTCGCTACTAGACTCGTCAGGGACAAGAATTGAAGGATTCTTAGTAGCGATGGTGTTTATCTCCTCAGGATAGAGTATAAACTTTCCAAAGGAGATATTTCGTTTATACATGAGTGGGCTAATCACATAGGATGTGTAGTGGCGTTTCCTCTTCAATTTTGCAAAATCTGCAGAATTTTGTTGTGCACAGGCCTAGGTTTGCAACGTGTTTGTTCAATTTGCAGTGTTCTGTGAGGGCCCTAGACATCATGCCAATGCTGAAGGATACTTTTTATATAATAAAATATATATACAGTGCAACCTTAATATAACGTACCTCAATATAACGACTTCCTCGATTTAACAAATTCTTCGTAATCCCCTTGAATTGTCCATAAGAGTCAATATAAAATATACCTTTACATTGCGAACATTCTTTGCGAACAACCTCTTTATAACGAATTTTCAACTATCAAGAAAAAGTATTCATACCTCTAATTAACGAATTTTGTCAACCCAAAACATTTATAAGTTCCCACCAATAATATAACTCTTAATCTTATCTTTATCTTTAATCTTATAATGTGATTTATGTCTCGACATGTTTCGACACGCTTTTGTTCGTAAAGTAATTTTTTATTTTGATGTTTGATGGAAAGTAATGTAAACACTTCTGCTCGTCACTATTGTTAAAGATTTAAGTTAAAATGGCTCAGAAACGTAAAAGGTGTTCCTTATCGGTCGCAGAAAAGCGAAACATCATTAATTATGTTGACCAAAATCCTATGACGAAAAAATTAGACATAGCTAATAAGTTCGGGATTCCTAAAACTATTCTTTTACCTCTTTATAACGAATTTTAGGACAACCTAACCTCAACATAACAAACCTCAGTTCAACGAATTACTTGATATTACGAATATTTTCTTGCTCACCTCCGATTTCTTGTATCGAGGTTGCACTGTATAACTTATTCCGTCCTGTATATAATAAAATTTATTCCGTCATCTTCGCCCCCCCCCCCCCTCCCCCCTCTGTAAATGTATACTCGCCTGGTAGGAGGGGCACATTTGTTTAGCCTCATTGTACAATAAGCTGTCGAGATGCTCCGGCAGGGCGTCCACTAGCACGCCGTCCTCCTGTAAATTTGTTATTTATATGTTTCAGTTAATTTTTTTTCTTGATGATTATTTATATGGAATGATACACCCGCCTGCGCTAACGGTTTACACTGGCGGGGCACCAGTGGAGGATGACAAGATGAGCATGAGGTCAGTTCAGTTAGTCCATCGTGGTAAATTCACCAAGAATTTATCACGATGTTTTCTAGAAGGAATTTTAACTTAGCCTACTTAATATGTGTTGCCATCTTGTTCCTTTGGACTTTATTCGACCAGCAGAACCTGCCCCCAGGTAGTGACCTGCAATGGCCCACTTAGAAATCGCTTAACAGACTGCGCACCCAGATGGACTGCTGCAAATACAAATTGGTAAAATAGGGTGTCGCATCAAGAGAGGCTTGTGACTGCGAAGCGCCATCCCAGATTACGGTCCATCTATTGACCTGTTCTTTGTGCCCAACATCCTGCACAAAGGAAGATCTAAAAACGCGACAGAATGCGCAAAAGTCATCGCAACATTCTTGGAAAAATAGTTGCCATTGACACCAAAGAAGAATATGTTTTTGTTCTCTTACCTGTTGCAGTAACGGTAGTCTGGTAGCCAGGTACAGCCAGCGGGCAAACATGCTTTGCTTGCACAGAAGAGACGGCTGGCCGCTCTCCAGCTTGCCGGTTGTAGCATTCACCACTTCTGGAAACTGGGAACACCATGGACGAATAATAATCATCTATACAAACATGTAGTTATAAAATAACAGATTTTCATTTAATGAATTTTTGTTTGTCTGTCTGTTTGCTCTTGCTAATCTCTGAAACGGTTGGGTCGATTTTGATGGACTTTCTCTCACAGAATGTTTGCAAAAAAGTAAAGTTTGATATAGTGTGGTACAGTACAAATACCAGGAGAGCATGAAGTTACAGATGTATTTCATGGAAACTAGGCAGTGATATAGTGGCACATAGTAATATAGTAAAAGTACCAGGAGAACATAAAGTTACAAATAAAAGGGAAACTCAATTGAGTTTCTTGCCAGTTCTTCTCAATTGAAACTGCATACTGAATTGGACTGTAGGAAAAAATATAACACAAAAAAATTGATTTTCATAAGCAGTTAAAATGAATAAATGGTTTCCGAATATATTTTTTCTGGATTTCATTTAATGTTAGATATAGACACCTATATAAATAAACAACATAAATTCAAATTCAAATTCAAAAATCATTTATTCATGTAGGACATTTTAGCCGCTTATGAACGTCAAATTTTTACATTATAATTTTATTTTTTCCCTACCGTCCAGTTCGGTATATAGATACAATTGAGAAGAACTGGCAAGAAACTCAATTGAATTACTTTTTTTTTAAAGCCAGTTTATTTACAATGTATTTTATATAGGTGTCTAACATTAAATGAAAATTCAGTACATGAACAACTATTGCCATGCACACTCGTCATTCAAGTAATCGTTTAGTGAGTAATAGGCCTTGCTCAGTAAATATGATTTAACACATGTTTTGAATTTATTTAAGGGTAATTATCCTTTGGTATCTTATTGTAAATTTTTATACCTATTCCCATAAAAGACCTATTAACTTTTTCTAAACGATACTTGGGGACAGCAAGTTTGTCTTTAAATCTTGACTTATTTCCAAAAAACAGCAATATTCATAATATTATTATGAATATTGCTGTTTTTTGTAAAAAAAAACTTGTAGCGAACTCCTTGATAAGATTTTATACTACTTTTAAATTTTGTAATAATATTCTTTGACATATACTTTCTATTATATATCGCTGTCATACTAGTCGCATTTTATTTTATCTCCGTATTTTCTTCATTAAAACCCTCAGCACCTCTCACTCCTCAGACACATTTGATACCTCAGCTTCTAAACTAATTTAAAAAATATATGAAATTCAATTGAGTTTCTTATAAAAATCTAGTTCACCTCAATTGGCTCTATACACTATACTGGACGGTAGGAAAAAAATTATAATAAGAAATACTTGACGTTCATAAGCGGCTAAAATGTCGTAAAAATAATGATTTTTGAATTTGTATTTGGATATGGTAGGAAGCACTTACGGGTGTGGTGACGCACCAGCAGACGCTGAAGGAAGGCGCCCTGGCCGGGGTCCTCGCCTCGGTGCTGGCCGCCCGCGCTAGCAGCGGCGGCTGCAGTTTGAAAGGAGGCGGCAAAGACGTGATAAAAGTTTCTATACGCCCGCACAGCGCTCTAGAATAGAATAGAATAGAATAGAATAGAATAGAATAGAAAATCATTTATTCAAATAAACTTACATTGCAGCACTTTTGAATAGTCATCACATTTTTTTTAATCTACCGCTCATTCGGAAAGCTGTCTCATCACAAGAAGAACGAGCAAGAAACTTGTGTGTTGCTCTTTTAAATAATTTTATTCTTACTTACAATTTAAGTTTAAGTGTGTGAATACAAACTACCAATTAGCACTAATTCAATTAAATACTCAAATAGAAAAAATATTGAATACACTACAACTGGTTAGACAATTAATAAGAGGAAATCGTGATTAGAGCAGACCAGTCCCTACAAGCACTTTCAACTACAAGCTCTGAAAGTGAAGTCAAAATCATCTTTCTTAAAGACTACCAAAGCCATCTTTCCCCTATTAGAGGCCGTGGGCATTTTATTTATTTATTTATTTATATACACACTACAGACAGACAGACAGACCAAGGTTTATAACCAGTGCGTCCTACCCGTTATGACATACGGTGCCGAAACGTGGACACTGACGATACGACTGGTCCACCAACTCAAAGTCTCTCAACGAGCTATGGAAAGAGCTATGCTTGGAGTTTCTCTGAGGGACCAAATCCGTAACGAAGTAATTCGCCAGAGAACTAGGGTCACCGACATAGCTCTTCGTATTTGCAAGTTGAAGTGGCAGTGGGCTGGTCTTATCTGTCGTAGAACCGATACTCGCTGGAGTAGGCGTGTTCTAGAGTGGAGACCGCGAATTGGCAAACGTAGTGTACGTGCTGGAAGGTGTACCGTATTTATATTCATATGCATATAGTAAACAACTGTTATTTCAATATAACAAACAGACACTCCAATTTTATTTATATGTATACATGTATATATTGTTTCTATGTGTGAAAACCTGTTTTTTTAACTTGATTTAACTTTATTTATCACTACGTTTGTAAATAGCTTTAGTTTTTTGAAAATAAATAAATATATGTCTATACAATATACGTAATATCTATCACATACATCGGGAAAATCCACGCGTACGAAGCCGGGCCGCGTCACTAGTCTCAAGTAATTCACTATTAAAAACGAGTCGTTACGAAACAGCGTCATTTCCAAACCTGTTATAAACCAGCCACTTCAATACTTACGTTATATAGCAAATTTATATGACACCTACTTGATAGATACATACACACGGCCTCTGTGGTTTAGCGATTTAGTACGCCGCTTTCATTCCTATCGCCACGGGTTCGATTATTCGCACGGTAAACATTTGTATACAGGAGTGTTGGGTATGATACTAGAGGCTGTGTTTATAATAATAATAATAATAATCGATCGGCTCACGAGGTGACCGAAATGTGGGGTGTGATGCCCACCGAAATCATTCCAATCGTTATATCGGTGAACGGTCTTATCCCAACCAGTCTGGAGCAACATCTCAGACGGTTGGGATTCCGAGGCGGCTCACTCCCGGGAAAGATGCAGAAAGCGGTGCTCTTAGATTCTGCCCGCATTGTACGCCGGTTTCTCTCCCTGGGGCCCTGAACCCCGGCCGACTGTGCTTCTGCCGGGGGTAAGTTGCCATCTCCTCTCTTTAAGAGGGGAGATGAGATTTTTTTTTGGAAGTTAGGAATAATAATAATAATTAATTAATCTCCTCTCTCCTTAGATGAGATTTTTTTTTGGAAGTTAGGAATAATAATAGAAACAAATAATTACAAAAAATAAATAAAGAAAAGAAGCGAACAAAAGGCGGCCTTATCGCTTAAAGCAATCTCTTACAGACAACCAGGGAGATAGAAGCATTGGGTAAGGGAAAGATAGGTGGCGCAGATATATATGAATGATAGATATTATATGAATACTAAATACATATATAAAGAAATTCTTTATAATAATATAATTAAAAATTTCAACAATTTCAACAAGCAAGGAGTGTCAAAGGGAGCTGTCAATAGAAATAACATAAAAATGGATCGTGCAAAAACAAGTGTGCGTGAATAAGGTCATAAAATATATTATAAAAAGACAGTAATAGTTGAATAACAATTGTAATAAACTTTAAATGTCGTTTCTTTGTTTACAGGTGAGTTATGTGTGATTCATTATTTCAGTGTTAAATAATTGTAGTGTTTTAAAATTAAATAAAGCATTTCTTTGTTTACAGAGAAACAAATTTTAGTTTATTTTATAAAGAAACCCTGAAAATATCATTATACATAGTTAATTTTAAACTTTCGTGTTTAATATACATTATTTAAATTATTAACCGGGTCTTAACACGAATAATTTTATGGCAAATAAAGGTATTGTAACGTCGAGAGAGGTAAATACCTTTATTTGCCATTAAGACCCGGTTAATAATTTAAATAATGTATATCATTATACATATACTATAAAGCGGCTGAAAAATCCAAAATATGTAACTACAGGGGGGTCTAGGCTCCGAATATGAATTTGTTCCATTCGGTGTCGAGACCCTTGGTCCGTGGGGTCCTAGCGCTATAAGACATTTCAAAGAAATAACGAAAAGGTTAGTCGACATCACAGAAGACCGAAGAGCTGGCAGCTACCTCGGACAAAGAATTAGTCTAGCTATTCAAAGAGGGAACGCTGCCAGTATCTTCGGAACGTTGCCTAAAGGGACCCCTTTTAATAATATATTCAGTAATATAGTCATCAAATTATATTTTTTATGATTTTAATTTTAGGTTCTTAGTTGTACAATTAGGTTATGTAAATACTAGTAATAAATATATTTGTGTATGTATAAATCCTGTTATTATATATATATATATATATATATATATATCTAAGTATATATAACTCAAAGGTGACTGACATAGTGATTTATCAACGCACAGCCCAAACCACTGGACGGATCGGGCTGAAATATGGCATGCAGGTAGATGTTATGACGTAGGTATCCACTAAGAAAGGATTTTGATTAATTCTACCCCCAAGGGGATAAAATAGGGGATGAAAGTTTTTTTTTTATACTACTATGGTGGCAATCAGGCATACGGCCCATCTGATGGTAAATGGTTACCGTAGCCTATGGACGCCTGAAACACCAGGGGTATCACTTGCGCGTTGCCGACCCTTAAGAAACCTTAATATACCCTTCTTGAAAAACCCCCATGCTGTAGTCTCGTGGGAAAACCTCGGCAGGAAGTTCATTCCACAATCTAAGTGTACGCGGGAGGAAACTCCTCTGAAACCGCACTGTTCGGGACCAGTTAAGTTTGTATGAAACTTGATCAATTTTAAACCGATCGGGCTGAGTCTTTGCATTCATAAAGCTACTATGACGTAGGCATCCCCTAAGAAAGGATTTTGATAAATTCCACCCCTAAGGGGATACAATATGTGTGTGTATATAACACACACGTATAAATGTAATAAAATATTATACATTGCTCTAGTTATTTCACCATCAATAAATATATTTATTGAGTACATTCTGATAAATATGTACAACATATATCGCGATGTTCGTGATATATGTTCATGCATAACAATAATATATGCTAATGTTATAGTTACTTAACTAGCACTAATTCACAATATAAAATACTCAATCTATACATCGATATATATATAAATAAAATTGGAGTGTCTGTTTGTAATATTGAAATAACCTTTTTTTACAATTTTTGTCTGTCTGTCTGGCTGTTTGTTCCGTGGCAGGTAGCAGATGTAATAAGGAGTAACTTAGGCTACTTTTATTTTAGAAAATTCCTAATTAATTTTTTTGTTAAATTCCACGCGGACGAAGTCATGGGAACAGCTAGTCGAAAATAAAGCAGCGTGCTACACCATCAATATACATATAAAACACCCAGACCGATACAAACAACCATAATCATGAATACAAACATTTATACCGAACCGACGACCATTGAATCTAAGGCTTATACGCTACACCACCGGGTCCAACTATCACCATTTGAGATAAGGCGCAAGCCCTCGACTCCCCCCCCCCCCCCTCCACGGAAGACCCTGTTAAGGAAAATACCAAAAATCATACCCACGAATACAACTGTGCGAGGATTAGAACCCGCGACCATGCGAAATGAAACGGTGTGCTAAACCACTACACCACCAAATATACATAGAATATTAACAATTATACTCATGAATACATTTATTTGTATAGCGCGATGAATCGAACCCTAGACTAACCAATCGAAAGTAATGCGTGTTAAACTACTACATCACCAAATATACATAAAAAACACCCAGACCGATACAAACAAACATACTCATAAATACAAACATTTATACCGAATCGAACCGACGATCACTGAATCCAAGGCTTAACCGCTACACCACCGGGTCCAACTATCACCATTTGAGACAAGGCTAAGCACTCCAAGCACTCCACTTCCAAACCCTTCCACTTCCCCACGCGACCCTTTCAAGGAAAATACAAGCAGTAAAATACAACTGTGCGAGGAATCGAACCCGCGACTATCGGAAGTAAAGCGACGTGCTACACCACAAATATACATAGATAACACCTAGACCGATACAAACAATCATACCCATGATTACAAACATTTATACAGTGCGAGGAATCGAACCCGCGACCATCGGAAGTATAGCCATGTACTAAACCGGCAAACCACAGAATATACATAGACAACACTTAGACCGACACAAACAATCATACCCATGAATACAAACATTCGTACAGTGCGAGGAATCGAACCGACGATCAGAAAGCGACCATCGGAAGTAAAGCCATGTACCAAACCAGCAAACCACAGAATATACATAGAACACAAACATTTATACCGAATCGAACCGACAACCTTAAAACTAAGGCTTAACCGCTACACCACCGGGTCCAACTATCACCATTTGAGATAAGGCGTTAAGCCCTCCACTTCCAAACCCGTCCGCCCCCCCCACGCGACCCTGTCAAGGAAAATACCAACACCCAACGCGGGAAAGTCACCCCGTGGAGGAAAAGATCGACATACCGTG